ATAGAATAGCAGAATAATTGCAAAGGCGATGATCTAAAAGGCTTTCTACTTGAAACGAAACGAGTATAAGATATATAGATTTATAGTGAGTGGTAAAAGATGGAAAGAAAATATTGTGAACGTGGTGGTTTAGAGGATGTGGATAGGAAAAGGGAATCGAGGACGAGCTCTATTTATAGTAAAAAAATCAATCACAAAGCCAAGGAAGCAAGACCACTATTACAAGTCGTTTTTACACTGATAACTGTGTGGAATCGTAAGCGACCCACAACTTGATTGTTCAACTTAAGAATGGTATAGGTGCACAAATAGTTTTGTGATGATTGGAAGATGTGCAAGCATTGGCATTGCAAATTGTTTCCATATAGCTTATCTCGTCTTTCACATCTAGAAAGTTCTATTCCAGAAGAATAAGTGTTTTTCCATGTCAGTATGTTTCTTAAGAGTCATAGAAAGGAGCATACACTGCCAGCATTAAATAGGTTCCCTGGTCGGAACATGACCTAGGCTGGGAATATCATTGAGAGAAGAATGGAGCATCAAATCATCTCGCACTGCACATCTGAGCCATAAAGCATACACTACATATGTGCAAACATCTGAGTAAATCCTTAGCTATCAGCTACATACAGGTCCGCTCAGTTATCTGCTCATCTAGATAAGGAAATCATGTGTAATACATGCTGTAACTTTGTTCAGATTGAGACACACATTTCAAAATATTGACTACATATATCACAATGGCTACTCAGGCAATATTCATGGAACTGTGTAACAGTAGCAGAATGGGAATCTGATCACTAGGACCCATATTCCCATCTGGGAACCTCTTTAATGCTGGCAGTGATAATAAATTGCATGTTTCCGAGCATTGGCTCACCTACTGATAGACTTTGTTGTGGCGCTTCAGGTCGTTTGAATGTTTTTGAGTTGTCCCTGGACTTCAGCTTTACAAGCCGGATTGGTGCTGAGTGACATTAACTGAGACCCGCAAGTTGATCAGTCATCACTCAAAAAAGGTATAGGTCTAGAAATGCTTTCGTGATGACGATGACCAAGAACTCTGGATAAAATTTCCAGATTCTTTCCAGAAATTATACCCTGGTAAGACCAATCTACAGAAGTACTTTTTGTCAGTATACTTCTTAATATCGCAGAGAGCTCCATAGTTCATGGTGTTTTTCTCAGCGTTGACTCACTTTCTGATATCTGGTCTGACTGACTGAAGTCTTTTATCACACAAACGCTGCAACTTTACGCTCCACTGATACTTGTGCTCAGTGGAATTAAATGACATTCAAGGCAATCATTCATCGGTCAATAAAAAAGGGTAGGTATACCAAGCCCTTGTCGTTTTTTTTCAAGACCCTCAAAGAGCTGACGAAGTTGTAGATTATCTCCAGGAAGGCTATCCTTTGTCTTTCCCATATGGAACGTGCTATCGCAGAATTGTAAGCAATCTGTGTCAGTAAATTGATCTGCACAGTCCAGCTCTACATACTACTTGTAGCTTTTGATCTTCTTTCGAAAGTGGCGGAGATCCGTGACTTCAGAATGAATGCTCGAGTATTTGATGCGACCCAGACAAAATCATCCACGTTAAATTCTAGATTCTTTTCCATTTGAAAGATTCCCACCATGATGTTCTTCATCCCGTTCAGCTTTTCCAAAACTTGTTTTTTTGTGAATGTTTTCCAAATGACTTCCGGAATTGATAATTCGAGAAGATTGCAAATTTGTAGTAGTACAGGAATTGATCCACCATTTTCTGAGGGATCGATTATTTTCACAGACATGTATTTACAGACGTTGTTGACCGTAAAGCGTGAAGTCCGCAAAAATGAAGACTACCTGGGTGATTCTTGAATTTTACAGATCTTCGTCCAAATTTCCAAATTTGTAAAAGAAAGGTTGTAATGATTTGTACGCAAAAATAAATATCATCCACGCTATTGTCGAATTTCACGACACTTCTCTCGCAGACGTTCACAACTGCAAAAAAGGAAGAGTGCAAAAGTCAATAAAGTCAAGCGATTGTGCTATTTTACGACACATGACTCACAGACGTTTCAAGTCTGTAAAATTTCAATCGCAAAAGTCGTGCCCAAAGGGTACAAAGTTGATTTTTGCAACACTTGTCGCAGCCATCAATATTGGGCCATGATTCCAACAGACTCAAAAGAGCCAAGGTCTTCCCAAAAGAGACACCCACATCTTGCCAACACATCTCAAATCAAGCAAGGGAGCGAGCAAGGGGGACCCTGAACTTAGGTAGGAGAGCGAGAGATCCTTCGAGTCCTCCTTCAGTGCTTTCCAAAATAGTGCTTTCTTCACCCTTCATCTTGCCTTACCGCGATACTTTCTTTCCGATTATTCAATAATCAATCATTAATACATTGATATCATTACGATACACTATTAAAATCATGATTCCCAGCCAGCTGAGTACCAGTGACTTGTTCAACTTCAATGAATACTACGAGCCTCAACATGGAAATGGAGACCCCGGCACTGTTTTGGCAGAAACCGAACTGATTACCAACGAGGGCGAAGAGGTTGAACAGGACGAAGTTCTTGCCGAAGACGAAGACACACCCTTGGGAAGCAATGAACTCATGCTCACCACCGCCCATCCTGAGCCTAAGAAGCTACGTAAGCACGGCAAGAAAACATTTGCTCTACCACTGGATCGGGCCACATTCCAAACCTTCATCGATCATGGGACAACTCTTGATGAAGAAGGCTATCCTAAACTTCCCAATGGCCAAACAATTTTTGTCAAGCTACCTAATCAAAAATTTGATAACTGGGCCACCTTTGCGTTCACGTACACCACATCATATCCCAAGAAGGCTGCCCGGCATCCTGAGTGGCGAACAATCAGGTACCACTGCCTTGGAGTTCTTATTTGTTCTGATATGAATTGTGATTATCTGGGTTCACCACCCACTGGAAGTGGAAAAATTACTGAGATTAGAGAATCGTGAGTATCCACATTTATTCAAGTATATGAACAACTCACTGAGTATGAATTTTATCCTTGCTACTCTGTCAACAGACCTAAAATATGCCCAGGAGCCAACTGCTCCGAGTTGGTTCGTCATGTTGCGTGTGAAGACACAATCTGCCGTTTGGACGAGCACATCCCCTCAGGATGGGGGATCATTCGGCATTCTGGAGATCACACTCATGCATGGCCGCGTCGCAACAAGCCTGACAAGTACTCCATGAAAAGGTTCGCGGAACGGGTGACAAATAACCCTTCGATGGGCCCATTGCAACACAAGGTAAGCTTTCTTTTGTTATGATCTTTTCGTGACTGTTGATAGCTACATAAGACTCACCTCAAGTTCCTCACGATTCCAGGTTGGTCGAGCCCCTGCCGGAACACAGGATATCATATCGTCATCTGGGATTCATCCGTCGTTGGGAAACCTGCACCGTACTGCTTACTACCGACGCAAGATACTGGGAGATGCCGGGGTTATCCCCGTGAAGAAGATACCAGGTGCCGCGGACAGTTTCCCTTTGGAGATGATTCATTGGGCAAAGTGAGTGAAGATCTGCCTGGTTCTCTCTCACTGTTTTCAAAGTTTTCAAACATTTTGTATTTCAGGCTGGGACTGAGGATGATAAAGTCATCTTATATGATAGAGGATATCCACATGACATTCCAAACTCAATGGATGGCGGACCAGCTTTTGACGCGCGAAATCGACGGTGGAGTTTACAGAGGTGGCCTCTTATCGGATGTGACTTACAAATTTTTTGCCAACGGGTATCTCATGACAACTTCAATGTACCACTCAACATTGCGTAGATGGATTCCAATCCAGCTAACCTGGCTGTACGGGCTATCCGAAGAGCATTACTTTGCTCACTTCAATACTTTGATGAAGCAAATTAAAAAGGCTCAACTTCTACCAGAGGAACGCGACACACTTGTTAGGCAAGTTGTAGATTTTTCTGCTGCCCAGAAAAACGGATTTATCAGAGCGTATATGAAAGTTTTCGATTGTACTGATCGTAAGGAAGCTCTGGGGAAGTTAAAAGGCTGTCAGGAGCACTTCCGACAGCAGGTAACCAGGCTTAAGAAGAATCATAAGATTGTTCCACTGCACCTGCAAGTAAGTGATTCATGATATTTCATCATTGTGATTGTCATTACTGATCGCGCTGGCCAATTAACATCTGCAGGAAGATTGGGTCCGGCTCACCGAATGCTTGTTGCATAAAGATGTTCCAGGCAAGGATACTTACGAGCAGAATGTCCAAACTTTAAGGCGGCTATTCCCAGCGGCGAAAAGATGGTTGGACTGGTGGCAAGCTTCCGACATTGAGGCAATGCTTTTCCGCTCACGTCGGAAGCAGATTGACGACGACGGCTTATGTGATGACCTCCCTGACACTACAAATGCCCAAGAATCCATGCACCGGGTTTATTACATGATTGCGTGGGTCTGCTTTTTCTTTTAATTGTCATGTTTTTAAATGTGCTAATCCAATTGTTTTTCAGGGAAAGCAACTGTACCATCCAGATAGGTTTGGTACAGCTGTATGCTTTTGTCAAGAGCCTTGAAAGGGATCATGAAGACCTGCTTCGTGGAGTAAGTATTGAGTACGGTTCAACTCGGAATTATGAGAAGGTTGCAACCACCCTTGGATGGACAAAGAAGAACCGCAATCGTAAGGACAAGCACAACGATGGCCGTCCTCCTGATACAACACAAGCCCTTCTGGGTCGCAAAAAAAAATTGGGCCGACCAGTAGGATCTGTCAATATCAACCGCAACCCAATCACCACCTTTCAAGGCTTCTATGCCTCATCGGAAGCCGGTCGCAGGAACAGATGTTGGCTTGACTCAATTGCTGAGTGTCTACATGCCATCCAGTCGCCACTGTGGTTTCACGGGACCAACGGTAAAGCAACTCATATATATACAAAGATAATGAAGGTTTTGTCGTCGCGCGCGACTTGCGAGATGACAGAGAAAGGAAGCATACGAGCTATATTGTCCCAAGGGCAAAACACAATTCACGCGGCTGCTCAAGCAGCATCAGTCAGCTTTCCCACCGACCAATTTGCATCTGCCGACACTTTCTTTGAAGTGATCTTTGACTGCACGGACAAAAGACCCTTGGTACCTGCTCCAGCTAGAACACTCTTCCGTTTGGCCCGTATACAAAAGTTGGTTTGTTCACGTGACTCAACTCATCGCATCAACAAGACTATCCCAACAAACACCATCAGTATCCTTCCTCAGCACTTTGATAGTGATTTCAATTACTCACAAACCCCCAAATTTCTGGCCACTTGGATGTCTGAAACTGGAATTCGAGGACAGTCTAACCGTCACTGTCAGCGCTGCACAAAGGACGATACTGGCCTACCACCATTTTTTGAAAGGAACCGTCTTGCATGGGAACAGGTGTCACCTCCTCATTTATACATCCACTTGGATATCTCAACTTTCTTGGTTTCTGAAACCAAGAAGCCGGACATGGATGCTATGATGGCTGAGTGTGACTTGCCTTACCAGTTGGAGGTTTATGGGGTTAAGTACTGGATGCGCACACGTGGGTATTGGGACGGTGCTCATTTCTGGTGTAAGGTCATACGCACAGTCCAAGGCCTGACTGCTGTGTGGTATCATAACGATATGTTGAATGGTGGTAACGCAAGCTTAATAAGTACTGATTTACAAGATATTGGTGGTCCTTCTCCAAAGACAAGCTGGGCAATGTATTCACGGCAACCTACAGCTGACGAAAGTGTTATCATTGAGGAGGCTAAGGTTAAAATAACAAAATCTCATCCAGAGATCCAAGGCGACATGCCTTTTTCTCAGACACTGACAACGGATAAGGACTCCATCAAACAGATGGATAAATCTCTGGTGTTGGATGGAAACCGCGAAGGTGAGTGATACTTCTAATTTACTTTGTTTAAGGTTTTAATCACATTTTTAATCACATTGTTTATGAAGGTGTCAAGTCACTTCTGGCCTCACTCACTCCAGAAGAAATAGAGGATATGTTTGCCTCCGATGGAAACACCGAAGAAGAAAATTGTTCCAAACTGGAAAAAAAAGAGGCAAAACCCAAGAAGAAAGGTTTGATTTGATTGCATGTCTTCTTTGATTGTGAATGCAATCTGATGGCGGTGCCGGTGCCATTCTTTTTTTGGGCTGTAGCTCACAAGAAGAAAAGCAAAGCCTACCAGGTCTTGACAGCTGAGGAGCGTGCGCTGGACGACATCTCAGATGAAGACAAACATTGTGGTGTGTATTTGTTTCATCACCGAAGATGATTGGCAACTAATGATGTTGGTTGTCATCACAAAATTGTGTTTGCCCTTCAGAACAAGGCCAGCAAGAAGATGGGGTGGAAAGTGAAATCGAAGTAGTGTCGTCCAAACCCAAAGGAAGGATGAAATGTGAGTATTGTATTGATTTATTGACCTGGTTTTATTTTTATTCTTAATAAATGTACACTTTCCCTGCACGAAAGCCACAGCCAAGATACAAGCCCGCCCACGTCCAGTGGCCGTGGTGCAGACAAAGGATCCAGTTTCAAAGTCAAAAACAAACGACCCAAAACGTGAGATAAATCTTTCCATTCATTGTGACACCTAACCATCACGGCTGATCTGTTATATGCCACGTGATGTGTGTGCTACAGCAGTAACAAAGAAACTCAAGGGCTGGAAAGGATATGAAATGGTTGCAGAGGGGGCCGTAGAAGAGTCTCATGAAGGTGAGGAGGAGCCAGTTGAGCAAGCGGAGAGGGGGGTGAGGACGTCAAAGCGTAAAAGATGAGGAAGAGGTGGGACTTTGAGGGTTTTTCTTTGTGTTTTCTCCAAATCATCAAAAATTATTGACCGTTGTTTGTTTTACATTTAATGAGATAATAATTATATGTTCTTTTGTTTAATTTTGGTTGTCTTTATAATACAAAGATTGGTTCATCGTTGTGACACACTGCCTTCTGACAAACGGCAATCAATGATTAAACACGATAAAAAATTGGTTTATTATTTTGGCACACTGCCTTCTAACAAACAGCAATTGATTAAGATGATTAAACATGATCAAGAGATTGGTTCATCTTTGTGACACACTGCCTTCTGACAAACGCAAATCTATGATTAAACACAATAAAAAAATTGGTTTATTATTTTGGCACACTGCCTTCTAACAAACAGCAATTGATTGAGATGATTAAACATGATCAAGAGATTGGTTCATCGTTGTGACACACTGCCTTCTGACAAACGGCAATCGATGAACATGATAAAGGCGGATTATCCTTACGTAGAGATGGTCAGGTGGCGAGTGTGATTTTCTGTGCAACCCCACCGCTTCTATGGGTAGGATTTCAGGAAAAGCAGATCTCGGATTAGATGAACAGCAAGAGTTGCTTTTATGAAATTCAAAGTCAAAAAGCAAGAAGTTCTTTTTGAAAAGCAAGAAGTTCTTTTCGAAAAGCAAGAGTTGCTTTTACTACTAGCTTTTGGACAAGTCAAACTCGTTGTTGAATGAACAATGACATTGGCTAACAAAATCTTACGTTGGTTGCTTTTATCGAAAAGCAAGCTCTTCTGATCAAAGGCACGAGGGGTTTCACAGAAAGCATGTATTGAAAACAATATTACCAACGAGTAAATTAAACAATTCTCTGTCATTCTTGACTGGGCATTTTGGGCTCGGAAGAATCGGATGAGTTGTAATTTTTGAGTTGTAAAATTCTATATTACAACCATGAAAACGAGATTCACGGACACGTCTTTTTACGCAATCAAAGGTTTGTAAAGGAAAGGTTGCAAAGCTGTAGATCACCGAGATTATAATGATTTTTACGAGTGTCTTTTCTTACAAACCATAATGTCTGCAAACTTTTGAAAAATAACCATTGCAAATTTATAGATCGAAGCTCCTCAGGTACAGATTTGCGAACATCATCTTACAGGCCTTTTTTTTGCGAACCTTTCAAATTTGCGAATGTCTGTGAATTTCAAGATTACACCGGAGAATGTCGAAAATTACAGACATCACGATTTGCAGACATCAATGTCTGCAAATCGTAGTTTGTAAAATTCTCGGACCCGCTAATCAATTCTGATACGTCAGTTGAGGTCTCTTGCATGATTCCAGCTGTTTCAAGCAGTCTAGTTTTACATGCCAGTATCTCAACTTCGACATACTTTCAAAGGTCGCATGTCCTATTGTTGCTTTGGAATCATAAACAGTTCCAGAGCTTTTGTCAGATTGAATCTTAGAGTAAAGCGACTGATGAATACACTACATACCAAACTCGGACATCTTGTTGAAGTCATACGGCTGTAAAAGCCTATCAAAAACCTTTACTTGAGAAAGACCGTAGTGTCCTGAAGCATTCTTCTCCTAAAGCACAAAGCGTCAATTTTGACAAGCCTCAGGATCAAAACATTAAGTCTTACAATCCTTGTTTCCTTCAGTTCATGGAAGACTTACT